CTCTGAAACCCAAATCAGCTGCATTGCTTTAACCTAAATATAAGGTGATTGAAGGCACATGTACCTAACATTGATACAGGGATGGCATGTGGTTTCCTCGCCAGTTGGAGACGGTAGAATTTTTTCTTAAATACTGCTGTAGAAGAACGCAACCTCAGTGGGAGCCACAGGAGAACTTCTAAAATAGAAGCTTACCTTGACGTTTTGGTGTGTGTCCTCCATCAGAGGGTCTGACCATTGTGGTGGCATTCTCTTAAGTTTTCTTAAGCTCATGGTAGGGTCTCTTTTGCTGGGATTTAACTCAAATCCACATGCTGACTATTGTCAGGCTTAAATAGCTAGATACCAGTTGGATATAGTCACCCAAAATAGTATTAGAACTACATGTACTCTCTGATTGAGCGAAGTAAATGTGATGAGAAGCAGTTTAGATAGCTACAATGCTATTTAGAGCAAAGGGTTTTTTGTTTTGTTTTTAATTCAACCCACATTTGTAGCTCTAGCTGTTAGCCATTTTGAAGTAAAGGTGCTTTGTTGATTGAAAGGCTTTAGCAATCTCACTACTAGTATTACAGTCTCTTCAAATGTCAAGAGTTCATGTAATTCAAGCAAGGTAGTAGTAGAGAGTTGCAGGAAATTCAGATTTCACCAACACCTCTGCTTGAAATACCCGCTTGTGTAGCAAAAATATCCCTGCAAATGCTAAAGAAAGGATGCAGATACCATCACGTGTTTATGCACATTATATATCTGATAAGTGAAGTGGTGGTTATTTTCTGAATATAGACCAGAACTCAGTGCACCTTCAATAGACAGGCTCCACTGCTAAAGCATATAGTACTGGATAGTCAAGAAAGAGGAATGTCAGGACTTAAAATTTTTTTTGTCCTTTTTGAGACATGGCTGGGAAGAATTGCACCTTTTCTTTCTTCCCTTCGCAGTCTTGGATTTTGGATTTTTCATAAATACACACGTGGTGGTGACATTTGTGTTGTGGGTATTTTTTAAAATTTTTTTGAATAAGAAGTGGTCTCTTAAAAGTTACTTAAGGCCTTTTGGTTTTCATATTGGAACATTTTTGAGGGAGGTATTCCCATTACTTAAATTATTGCTAAAACACAGCAGCATGTGAATGTGTATGTAGAAACATTTGATCACATTATTTTTGTCTTTCTGTTTCAGGAGAAGTGCAAAATGTTTCAAATTCCTGTTCAAAATCTTGATAATATC